GGGGGGGGTGTAGCTATTATATAAGGATGAGGTTAGGGCAGAAGAATGAAAGGCATAGACAAAGGGTGATAAGGTAGATTGGGTGATGGGAGCTCTGCTATAGGACACCATGGAATGCCTAGCATGGCCAACCATGGAGGGGGCAGATCATGTAATGGGGGGTGCCCAGTGGTGGGAGGCAGGAGCATCCTTTGAAAAGCTGGGAGGGCAGCTACCATCGAAGGGTTGTCAGAGCAGATATATGAAGGGCAAAGACAAGGGGTGATAAGGCAGCTTGTGGGGACCACTGGTAATGTAAGTGGGATCTGCCATAAGACACCATTGAATGACCAGTATAGCCAGCTGTGGAGGGGCAGATTAAGCCACGCGGGTGCCCCGTGCTGCTGGTGGGGGCAGGAACATTCTTATAAAATTACAGAGGAGCCAGGCGGGAAGTATGAAGGGCATAGAGAATGTGGGGATCAGGGACCGAGGTAACAGAAAGGGGCTCTCCCATTGGGTACCATGTCCAGCATAGCCAACCTCGGGGGGCAGCTCATGCCATGGGGGTGATCAGCAGTGGGAGGGGCAGGGGCACCCTTGGAATAACTATCAGGAACTCCACCATGAAGAACACAAATGACATCCATCAATTCTCTCAAATGTGACAGATTTATATTCAAAGGCTCTAAATAAAGTTATTGCTACCTTTCCAAAACCATTACCTCCCCATATACAGAGTATAACAGAGCAGCACTGACCCCAGGCAAACCTAATCACTTTTTGGGGTCCTAGCCCCATCACATAAGGTGACATACACTCACACCGGCACAGTGGGGGGGGATGACGGGTAATGATATGCAGATGAGCGCCGTAAGATGTCACGCATGCGCAGTGCACATCAGTTCTCCTACCTGTCCGCCGCGCCGCTGCCTCCTCAGTGCCCAACTGAATCCCGGCTCAGAGTGGGAACCGGCAACTAGCAGCCGCCGTGACATCACGGGGAACCCGCCCCCGCCCCCGCACCCTTGTCACACACGCTCAGCCCAGCGCCTTTCTCATTGGGCTGCTCGCCGGCCGCCTCCGCCAATCGTCTCTTGGTAGCCTCCCAGTCGTCCCAGATCTGTCAGTCAGCCACAGGGGGCGGGCTTAGTCTAGTTTTTATTCAGAAACCGTTTCACGCGGATTTGCTGATTGGCCGGATGGACGCTGCGTCCTGATTGGTTATTCCTCTACAGCTGGGTCTCGCTGACTGAGACGTGACGTCATGTGACCAGTTCGCTCTCCAGCGTGTTGCCTGGTGCTGGGGGGCCGTGACGTCACCACCGTAGTTGGTGACCGAGTAAAGAGAACCTGTCTTTAATCAATTTTAACATAAAATAACATAAACAGATAAATGCTGGTCATATAAGGAATCTCATCCTCCTCTGCTGAGATTATGGAAAATTGTTACCATAGTTTTCCTTATGCTTATGCCAATATTACGGGACGTAAATAGCTAACTCCACAGGAGGGTAACGTGACAGAAAAACGCGTAAGCCGGAGCCAGAGTTCCAGAAGGAGCTCCTGAATTGTACGGGCGCTTGTATTTCTCCTGTTGCTGCACCCAAATAGTCACCGACCAGCCAATAGCGACTGACAGACTGCCATTGCATCATGCAGCGTATCTCAAATCCATACCAGACCCTCATCCCATATAGAGGCCTGGTATTGATTTAAGGGGGGACCCTATGTTACATAGTTACATAGTATTTGAGGTTGAATAAA